ACTTTGAAAGAGAATAAATTGATGAGTAGTTATAAACTACAAATCACGACCTACTTTAATACTACAAGAAACAGAAATGTGAGGTCCTTGATGACTCATAAATTCAATAAGAATTCACAATAAAGGAACTCACGCTTTCATTCCTCGATGAAGTTCAAAAGTAGTTTGGCTTTATAGATACAAGGAGATGATACGATAAGTCACCGGCCAAAGCTGAGTAAAAGACATGACAGTTTTCAGCCCCTAGGGATATCTACAAACTAATTATTTATTTTGAGAACAAACATGGATTAATAATATGCAAACACCATAAATTACAAAAGGCCACACAAGCGTGGCCTGGAGCAGAACTGCTTCCCATTAGCTTTTATGACGGCCATTACGCCAGCAGCCAAACCAGCCCAGAGTACTGAAGAAACAAAATGTTGTGCGTTGCGGCTCGCTATTGATAAAATGTAAGAAAGTAACACAGCATTAGCAGTGGTAATTTGGTAACAAGCAAAAGTATACTGACCGCAATCAAGTACGTTTTTTTTCCTGAGTAAATTTCACAAAACTACAGAGATTAAAATACCATAGTGCTTTGTTAGAGAAAACTACCATGAACTCTTTTTTCACTTCAGTATAATGCTGTTATTAATTAAGGAAAGTTAGACATGCTTTGCATGTGATATGTTTCGGACAATTTTACCTTCTTTTAGGTTAGGTTAGGTAGATGTGTAATTCAGACTTCTTCTCCAATACGCTAAATCTGTTAACAAGTTTCGGTATCTTTCTGCAGTTTTTAGAAAGTCCTGGTAGTTTTCTCTAATGAAAATAGTTTATGGTAGTTTTGCACAACACCCCGAGAATCATTATAGTTTTATGAAATTTATCCAGTTTCCTTCAAAATAGAAGAATACCTTGATTCAATGTCAATGTTGTCACAGTGAGACTTCCAACTACTAGCACTGAGGCTACTGGAAGATACTGCAAGATATTTTCCCAATAAAACTGAATGTCAGAAGTGTGTCCAAGCAGAAGATAGCACGTATGATTTATGAAGAAAATGAATCACACATTAGAAAGAAAAAAAATGCCGCAAAGGGTCACATATATCACTTACTGAAAACGTTTCAAATCCATTCAGCTGGAAAGGAGAAGGTCCATCTCTTCTGATGCTATAATGACCACTAATGAGATCTAATGCATCCTGAAAGCATTTTATCACTAGAGTTGGTCACATCACCGTAAAATCAGCAAGATGTAAAATAGCCAGAATCAACCAAAATAAAGGCAACATAAAGTGACATACTTGCCGAATCCCATCTTGAAAGTTGTTCATATAATATCGTGAAAGAGCAGTCATCCCATCCTTTATCAACCCTGATACAGTCTGCCTCCCATATCTGAGCAGTGTGCAGGCATGAAATTATTTAGCAGTATGAATACCAACCGGGTATTTTCTCTCATAAAAGTTATCTTAAAAATGCCTCATAAGTACCTCACTAGATCACCTTTCAGAGCATGAGTACCAGCATACTCTAAGCTTATTTCATCTCCATGTTCAGCCCATACTGGAATATATAAACAACAGCATCTCATATTTGGATAATCCAACATCTTTTTTTTGTTAATGACGCTAATAAGCTTTGAGAAGAAAATCTTACATATTTTAAATCTTTCATAAATGTCAGGATGCATAGATATGCAATCGATTGAGGAAAATGCCCCCATTTTCTGTACTTGAGAATTTAATGATTTCCAAGCCAGATAACTCTAAGAAAGCAAGAAATAGAACAGAGAGATAATATATTATTTAAAATTTCTGAAAGAAGTTCACTGGGAAATGAAACATGATAAATCAATAATATATTTAAATTTGTTGTCATGAAGATTCATTATCTTTTGGATGCCGAGGTCATCTAAAAAAATGTTTATATAATATCAGCATCATCAATGGTAGGCTGGTGGGCTTTTAGGTTTAAGCGGGCTTTCTATGAAACATGGCTTGAAGTTGAGAAAGCTCCATAAAGATTACCCATGATTCCACAATCGCTTGTGAGCTTTATATAATCCATAAAAATTGACCATGTTTCGACAATCACCAGTAAACTTTATGTAATCCCCCCATGAGATCGTGTTATATTCCCGAGAAAGGCAAGTGTTACATTCCTCAAGAAAGGCATCCATCAAGAGAGAACCCCATATAGACCTTCTCTGCCAGGAGGGGATAACTAGACCTAGGTCATGCAGTTAAAATTTGTACAACTAACAAATGTTGCTCCAAATTCCATAGACTAGGAAGAGTGAAGCTCGGATGGTAAGATGGGATAATGTGAAGGGGGTATAAATGAGGATAATGTGAAGGGGGGGTATCAACGAAGAGACCATGACGAAAAAAATTATGCGTTAGCAGATTATGAATTTCTAAAAATTGTGAAAATTCAGCCAAAACACATTTCCTAAGAAATAAATCAAGCAATCAAAAGGTAAGTTGAAAGAAGAAGGATAGATGGGATAACAGGGAGATAAAGATACAAGCAAGAAGAGACACTGAGAAACAATTTTTTTTGAGTGAAATTCTAAAATAAATCTTTAGAAATTCACAATCTGTTAATATATTCTCTTCATAAAGAAATAAAGCAAGCAATCAAAACATAAGACTATATGTTTTATGTCCTGACAAGTGGGGAAACTTATAGAAAGTGAATTCAAGAATAAAACAAAGGTGTCTTTTCTAATAACGTGAACATTGTGAAGGAACAAACCTGTGTAACATTTGTCCGATCCAGACAGTCGATGCAATTAGACCTAATAATTCCATTTTGTTCCAATACGATGTTCCCGACATCATTGGTAAGAAAATATCTGCTCAGCTGGCACAAAATCAATCAAGAAGATTTCACTTGCAACTATTATAGTTGAATACAATAAAACATGATAAAAGCTGCTGAAGCATACATGTACAACAGTCATAAATGATTCTTCATTTGATTACCCTTGATTTTCAACAGTTTCAGATATTTGCTCGTAAAGAAGTTGTAGATTATCAAAATTCCCTTTGCCACAGATGTGATGGAAGTCAAATGATACGTATCTGTCAACCAATCATGTGAGCCACTATGTTAGAACAAAGTTGTGTCAGTCACCCACTAATTTACTGGTAAGTATCCCTACAAGCAAGATGTTGGTAATTCAGATATCAACAATTTCACAGTCAATATGATTTATCTAAGTGTAATAAACAAGCAGCAGCAACAATCTAGTCTTATACAAAGAATACACTGCATGTGATGAGAATAAGGGACTAATTTAAATAGGAACAACCCAGAACAAGAGAATCACAACCTCCAAAAATATCTAGATGGCCTATCCATAAATTCTCTTGGGGATCTTCAGTATAAATAGTTAGCCACTTTGTACACTTTTTTTATTCATTTGATTAAAGAGTAAGCTTTTCATGTGGACAATCATATGCGGCCAGGACATGTGAACTAAGGCGAAGCGAGATTATACATTTTAATTGTTTGACATCTTTAACCTTTACAGGCTACAGCTGCACTGAGAAATGGATGCTGATGGAAGACAAAAGTAGTTTTGAAGTGCAACAAGTTTGAAGGCAACAGTAGGCATAGACCATAGCAGTAGGTTGAAGGTATTCAACCGTGTTGAATAACTATGAATGCACTGATGATGGATAAGCACTTTCGATAAGGAAGACCGATAAGTAGTTAAAAAAGTAGAATAGAGTGGATACCTCAGTGATATACTTCCTTCACCAAAAGATCCTGAATATGACAAAATATGCTAGTGAAATGGTGGGAAATAACAAAAGATAAGGAAGGGCAGTGAGAGGCAAGATCAAAGGAGAAGATAGAGGCTGTGCTTTTGGGTAAAAGATCATTAGACAGGACATGGTTCCAAATTGCTTGAAGTTTGGGAACATTATAACTTCCAAGTATAAAAAATCTAACTGCCTATTCTTATATTTTGGTTAAATATGGTTTAAAATAAAGGGCTAATGTACGATGCTCCTGTTATGTGTGGTGTTCGGGTAAGGTCGGACCATATGAGTCTATGTGATAATTTATAAACAAAATCCTAATTCCGATCGTATAAGTCAAGGTCGCTTACTCATTGTTATCTATTTAATATAATATATACAACTTATCAAGGGTTAAATCTATTCCGAGCCAAAAACAAAGGAAAACATGCATTCTATTTTCATGTTAGGTTAGGATCAAGTCATGCATGCCATGGATTATAGAGTTCCATAGGAGGTCAACTTAATGTGAGCAACTCTTATATTTTTCTGATGGTTATACGCCTCTCGTACTACACTACAGAACTCTGGCCGAGCTCTCACCATACAGTGATGATGTGCAACCCTTACAAAGGTACTTACAATTAAAGGAAAAGCGTACATAGTGCTAAAAGTTATATATGAATTGATCGTCCCAAATAAGTTCATCTTTTGTAAATAAATAATGATGATACCTTACATGTGGAAGCTTCTCCACCTCAGTAGCAAAGGCACGACTTAGCTGACCTTCATCACCATGCTGTGACAATATGATACATCTCAATTTAGAATGATGATGATACAAGAGAAAGCTTACTTGGGTATGCAAGAATATATTTGTTCTTGTCCCATGCATCATTGTGTTTTGTGTTTTTATTTATTTATTATTATTATAGAAAACAAAACTTGTGCACAATACGATTCAAACAAGCTTCATTTCTCTTCTTCCCTCGCCACATACACATAAAGAAGATCCTCCCAATATTGGAACTTCATTATTGCTATATGGTCTCGATTACTCATCTCTTTAAAATTTTCATGGCAATCCATAAGTAGAAATATTAGGATCTACGGACCATACTGAATCTTTTGAAAAAGTCAAAACAAGAAAACACTTCCTGCAAGTTAAACCAGATTATTATTATGTATCCGTCCTCCCAAATTTCTCCTCAGAATCAATATCTAAATATTCTTCTTTCTTACCTTCAAAATCAATCTGATACCTCTCCCTACCAATTCTCCTATTTGCCTTCAAGCAAAGCTTTATCTTGGGTAACTATTCAGTGCCAAATTTTTTAGTTATTTTAACAAGCTCATCTATACTTTGTGATCTCCCAGACATAGATTGAAAGGTTCTCATATAGGCAAGGAAGCCTAAAACTCTTCTGAACTTCAACATACTCCAAAAAAAAGGGGAAAGGGGATACATGCTTTATAGGAAATTGCATTTGGAAGGATCAAAACTAAACTGTCGAAGTTGGAAAATGGAGAATGTTCAGTTAAGTAATGTAAAGAGACAAATGAGGCGATGCAAAAGAAGAAGACTTGGAAAAATAATCAACAGGGTCATTCTTGCACTAGCTTGATCAAAATGATTTCATAAGTTTCTTAGCCTTATTAAATTAGAAAGAGATTAAGAAATTTTTTAGTCTTCATCTTTGCTAAGATACAAGAGAAATATGTAACTGATAGAGGGTTTTAGGCTGAGAATAAGAATGCACTTAGTGTTCGTAGCATCAAGTGAGAAATCTTATAAGGAATTTCCTAGTTTTAATCTTTTAATGGTGACAGGTATAATTACCTAATTTTTTAACCTAGAGAACATTAACATTTGATCAACATTGATTAATAATATAGATGCAAGTAAACAGCCGAAATAGATTTTCAATATCTCAGGACAAAGCATGAAACTGAAGTGGAGATGAGTTGTTATCATCAAAGACCAATATTGTTATCGATAACTTTAGAGTAAACAAAACAAAATCAATTTTCAAAGCATGTGAATTGGGAGTTATTGGTAATGAAATTTGAGCAATGAAATTCAGAACATTGTACATCCCGGTTATCAAATGAAGTCACTATTTAATGTCTATGTTGTATCTAGGAAATATGAGAATGCATTTACATGGCAGAATGAGTGAATGTATGCATTTGTGTGTGTATTTGTGTGCACATAAATAGAAAACTTACGTTATCAGTCAGGTCAAGCACAACTGTCTCTCCATATCTTTGCAAGAGATCATGAAAATGGCGTTCGACAACCTTCGGCTACAACAATTAGATATAATATTAGTTTATAGAAAACATCGTAAAGAACTAATTCTTTTCTGGCATTTAAAATATTCTTACCGTTTCTTCATGGTTTATTATATTAAGTCGTGGTTTGTAACTCAGATCCACAATCTGCTCCCACAAAAGAGGAATGGAACCTCGAATCTAAAAAATTGGATGAGATACTTAAACAATTGAAGGAACATATGCCAGTATGTATATAAAACAATGCTTGAGTACATCAATGTATTAGAAATTTCAACACTTGGAATTATAATCCAAGCCATTTCATACAAGATATAAACCCAAGAGAGTCCCCCTGTGTATGAGAGTGTCTTCTTTTCTCTAGTTAATAAAAAATTGCACCAATTATGCCCAAATTTCTTCCACGTACAATTTAGTATGATAAGGAATTCGCATGTTGTTGTTGAGTCATGGAATTCATCAAAAGGATGAGACAGGTAAGGAAACAGTAAAACAAATAAAACTCATGATATCCACTAGACAAAAAAATTACAATTTTCTCCAACTACTTGTCGAAATATTTTCTATTTAGTTTTTTTAGAAAAATCAAAACATTTCCTTATTCTTTGCTCCCTCCTATTCAGCACCAATTTTATAGATCCTTGTTTTGCATCCATGAGCAATGGAGACTACTATAGTGCCAAATAGGAAAAGAGATGAGATTATAATTAATGGAGCCATTAAGGAACAGTATAAGTCATAGCGCCAAATGCAATGACATTTTCTTTCCCAATGTTATTAGATGAAGAAGAAAGGCTTTATGTACGAGATTATACTTTAATTTTCAAATATAGAAAACATGTTTCAGCCTGCTGCCGTAATTTGGTAAAACTCATTGGATATATGCTGGATTCACAAGAACAACCTTTCACTAGGTTGCTCTTGACCAAATAATTAGCCAAATGATAATCATATAATGTCATATATCTATAGATTTATCAGAAACAAACCTCTTAAATGAAGACAAGAAAATGTGATGAGTATCATTTCCATATCAGAATATTCCATTATATGAAATAGTCACCTGTAAAAATGAGGACGTAAATTTTTCAAACTCAAATAATTGTTCCGTTTCTATGAAATTAGCTGTAGCGCCTTCAAGATTAGCTCCTCTTCTCCACATTCTTGTTCCTGAATTATTTGACATTAAAACAGTTCTAACATTTATTATTGTTCTAACCCGGTTGCTGAAATAGTTTTAATTGCTTTAGTTGCATCACAAAAAATAGATAAACTACATGAAATTATATTACCTAAACGCCGATTACACCTGCGTGAGATCAATGTCAATTTGGCAGGTGAATTTTTAATGGTGAATTGTACAGTCTGAAAGCGTAGGCTTCTGTTAAGGAATCCAGCAAAAAAAATTATCCTAAAATAAGCTAAACCATAAGGTGCCATTGTTAAGCCATGTGAAGACATCTTTGAGAACCAACACAAATTTTGCAACCAAAAAATTACTGTACCTGAATGCATCCTGCAAATTCATTAACACACTTAAAGTGCAAACCAATGCATAATCTACAGATACACAAATAAAAAAATACGGAAAATTAACATTATTTCAGAAATTTATAGACCAACTGAGGATATTTCCTTGTATCATAGGAAGCACAAAAGCATCAAGCTGCATCAACAAGAAGGCCAAGATTAATATTAATGATATTAAAGCGTCCAGTTTACATCAATCAAAAACATCTGAAGCAAACAAGACGAAAATAACCTTTGCCTCAATAAGCTCCTCCAACAAGCTCCGGTTCCAAACAAAGCGGGGGTCAGCCTGGGAGAAGAATAAAACATTGAAAAACATGTGTAACAATCTGACAATTTAAATGAGCTCATTACATAAACAAGACAGATTTTCAATAAAAGCACATCACAAGTGGGAAAAAATTTTGTTTTCATAATTATAAGACAGAAATGCCAACAAGTCATCCGTCTCCACCCTATGATGCTACTGCTCATCGAACATTTTTGAGGAGCCAATTGACCCAATGGGGGTAGATCCTACAAAACCATATTTGAGAGAATGTGTGCTCGTGTTTACACGAAAGAGGTCATGTTTTCTGCGAAGTTACTCTCTGTTACGCATCCAGAATGTGAAAATAGAAAGTTAATCTAGTTTCTACCATCTTTCTCTTGATGATGTAAGAGAAAAGAGAGATATCTACATGCAATATTCGCAAAAATATTCAGCGAAGCAAGTTTATTTCATGTAAACTCAGCGAAGCAAGTTTATTTCATGTAAACTGTCATGCAAGAGTATATAGAAATGTCTGAACGCACGTGCATCTTTGTGTGCGCGTGTGTTTATTTCATGTAAAAAGAGTACACATAGTTGAGTGTACATAATTGTGTATGTGTGTGTGGCGTGCATGTGCCTGAGAGTGCGTGTAAACAGCAACAAATGAAACGTGCATGAGTAGATGAATTTTTCAATACCTCAATATTAGGAAGAATCAAAAAGGGAAAAAAAGAAATGATGATAAGTTTATAACAGATGTGAGAAAGTGACATCTAATTCTAAAATGAAAGTTTGGAACCATTCCATTTGTAAGATCGCTCTAAGCATAATGTTAAATGTTTTTTATTCTTCAAACTTTTCATAATCCACTTTCCAAATGCTTTCTCAAGCCTTAAGGTCTGGTACAATCTAAGTTGCATGGAAACAGGCACGGGTACTGGTACGGGTGCGGGTACGAGTAAGGGACACGACAAAACTGTAAAATGTAGGGTACGGGGACACGGCTACATATACATATTGAATTAATAATGTACATGAGATAATTTTTTCCCGCTTCATGTGTCATTAGAATTAAAATTCCAATTACATTTTTGAGTTTCTTTTATCATATTAATTATCATGAATTGTAAATTACTCATTTTTTTACTAGAGATCTAAACGACCCATTAACTATATAGTTTTGAACTTGGGTATGGACTGAAACGAACCCGACCCGTATCTCATTAGTTTCAAAAGACGGATGTGAAGTGTAAGCTCTACGTCCAGGAAATTTGACAAGTGTTTTAAATTAACACATATATCGTATAATTGAGTACATGTTGTAATAAATGCATGCATATATTCGAGAAGTGTCCATGAAGTTTGGGTACGGGAAAGTGTCGGGTACGTGTCCGGTACGGGTACGGCTTCAATATAGAAGTACCCGGGTAACATAGGATACAATGTTGTTCAACAACTGGACCATACTCAGAAAAGGAAGTATAATGCAGAGATGTGATTCTTTTTTGCCAATTAAACATTTTAATGCCACATGTGAAGAAAATGAAATTTATCTACTCAGAGTTCAACTTCAAGTCAAATAACATTTTTAGTCATAAACTAGAATCGCACTGGTAATTAAGGAATACCCATGTCTAACTAACTCAAACAAGAAGACAAGACCCATCATATCAGATGTCAAATCTAATCAAAATTTAGGAAATTGGTACAGGTCCATTGTTTTAAATATCCCCAATATGGCCCTATATCCTTTTATAAGCCTTTCTGCACACGATATGGTCTTAATATCCTTTACTGCTTTTTGACAATATTGGGCGATATATCACGGACATGGCTGATATCTTAGCTGATATGTTATCTGAAATGTCCTTTTAGATGGTTTCTAGCAAAGCAATATACCGATTGGCAATTTTTGAGTAATATACCATGATTTTTCCAATATATCAAGAGACATGTGGTCCTAAAAAAATTGGCTGAATTTAGCAATGTCAATTTGGACGATTATTTGCTCTAAAACATAGATTAGTGATCCTAAACAAATATTATTTGCATTTTTGTATTCTTACATTTCATCAAGTATGTTTAGATTACATTTTTGGACATTATATTATAAATACACATCATCAGATATGTCACTCCGATAATTAGTAGATATCCTCGGTATTCCTCCGTTATCCGCAATCCAATATGAATTTTGGGCATCCGATATTCCCCGATATCTGATATTCAAAACCTTGTATAAGTCTCCATCCACGATGGTAAGACAGGAAAATTTCAATGATGCATAAGGCGAGTAAGATGGACTTAGTTCTCGAAGTCATGAGTCAAATCAGGTTGCATTTAATTCCTTTCTCAAATTGGATAATAGATGAGGTTGATGTGTTTCCTCTCAAAATATTCATTCAGAAAAAAGGTAATATATACAACTCATAAATTAAAAACGTCAAGTGAAGAACATGTCAAAAGTATATAGTTTAGCATTATAACCCAAACATGTCAGCAACGTAGCCTAGAGAAACAAGATTGCCTCTGGACTACAACCTAGCATCCTGCGATCTAAGCTAGTGCCTAATCTGACCAAAGAAAAGTGCAAGGGAGGGATTGTCATAATTCTAGGTAAACAAGTGGACAGACAGGAAATAATTACTCACTCACTAAACTCAAGTAACCATCTGAAATGTGATGTGCGTGTGTATATATCTATATATATAGAGAGAGAGAGAAATGGAGAAACTTGGTACCAAGTTGCTTCAAGCAACTTGGTAATGATGTGGCCTAATCTTGTCCCTACATCTACATTGGAGTTTGTGAATGGTGGTTGAGGCTCTATCTTCGAGGTGTGATGTAGGGGCAAGATTAGGCCACATCACTACCAAGTTGTTTTAAGCAACTTAGTACCAAGACCGCTTCCCCATCTCTCTCTCCACATATACTCACTAGTACTTATAGTATTAGTAACCTACGCGAACCTACTATACGTATATTAATATTATATCAGTCAAGAAATACCCACCGACCGCCTGACTCATTATACTAGATCGGGAGGAAGATGATTCGATCTGCAGAGAGAGCAAAGAACTCCTATCAACTTAAGTCTTGATAGTCCACCAAACTTTCTAGCACCTCATTTAATTTATATAAAAATATTTTCCATATCAACCTACAATGAATCCACTAAGGCAATACATGAGTGGTCTAATAAGATTGCGACCTCTCTTGCTACGCCGGCGTGAACAACTTTTTTGTTCATCCACACTTAAGTTGACACGAAGTTGTCCCTGCTCGATTAGTATATATACACATTATCATTAACATATAAAAAATAATTTCTATCATCCAATCCCACAAGGCGCATCCCTAGACAATCCAATGAATGGGCTTAAAAGTTTAGCTGGAAACTTTTATGTTCATCCACACTTGAAAGGTTGACACAAGTCTTTGCGCGCTCTCTCTCTCTCTCTCTCTCATCTACTAATATATACTAAGTATATTATATATACTTAAGTATATCAATATTATATATATATATATATATATATAAAGAGAGAGAGAGAGAAAGAGAGACATGAGCTTATGTCAACTTAAGTGGATATGAGGCATTGTCCACCAAACTTTTTATCCACTCATCTTGTCTTTAGAATTGTGCCATCAAGAGATGCACAAATCTCAAAAGACTCTTCATATCTTTCACAGATCCCAAGGCAGCCTCAATGGATAAAAAAGTTAATGGATGACTAGCTCCTATCCACTTAAGTTTACATAAGATTTCTCTCTATATACATATAGAGAGAGAGATGGGTATGCTTGGTACCGAACACAAGTTTTTGTGCTTGGTAGTGAGGTGGCATATTCCCCTCCACTCATTGAAATCGGAACTCACATTCACATGGGTTGGGGAGTGGTTGAGAATTGGAATGAGTGGAAAAGAATATGATACATCACTACCAAGCACAAAATTTGTGCTTGGTACCAAGCATACCCATTTCTCTCATAGATATATGTGTGTGCGTGTGCGTGTGTATGAGTCTCGAAGGAGAATATACAATAAGGAATTGCATTAAATTTTGCGGAATTAAATAATGGAAAGGCAATTAAAAAATAATTCTCATCACAATTTCACAAATTACTCAAGCTCTTCATGCATAGAAAAAAGTTTGGCATTACAATAAAGGATAAAGGGACTATCATGGTATTACTATATTCCTTACACGAACAAGCCAAAGAACTGATATTAAGACAAACAACTGCAATGTTAGTGTAAAAGATAATCTGGAAAAATCAGTTCTTTTCCTTGGAAAAAAATGATTATACTGTTTATGTCCTAGAAAACATGTAGTATCATATGTTTTCCATGATCTATGAAAAATCTTCTGGCTTCTTATTTTCTGGATATAGGAACCTTCATAATGAAAGAGGAAGTCAGACCATTATTCATATCTTTAGTATTTTTCTTTTCCTTCTTCAGCAATGCAAACAACGGCAAAAAGAGATTTCCTCCCAGTAAACTAGACATATCTTGTAATATTTCTTTTCAATGAAATGTTTTTCTTTGCCTTTCACTTCTTAAACCAGATGGACTCTCAATAAATTAGCATCATCCTCAAACATAAGGAGGAAGACTAGACTCGTGTGATTAGCAGTTTCATTGCTTCAGTTTGTTTCCAAAGCTCTAGTGAATTTAATATAATCTTTATCTATTAGGGAAATGCAAAGCACAGAAATTGATAATATATTTCTTAATTCAAAATAAACATGATGCCAAATACCAGCACTGAACAAAATATACTTTCGCAGACCTGTTTCCATAGAGGTTTTTGCAACCTCTCTTCAGTCAATTTGCATGCCCTCTGTAGGCTACAAAGAAAACAAACAATGATTGTTATTCACTTATTCTAAGTTACATGCATGCGCACGCACACACACACGCACACTCTTGCACGCATACATGAGAAATTTGTACTTGAAGTAATCTTTTAGATAGTTCTGAATAGTTGACCTCGTCTTTTTGCATGGCAGGTCACAATAGGAATGATCTACACCATTCATCATGATACACATCCTTAAACACGTTCGCAAAATCTTTAACTCATTGAACAAGCTGTTGCATTTGTATATAGTTGCCAAAGCTTGATCCAAGGTAATGTTGTGGGGAACAGCCTAGGGAGGTGCCTAATTGGTTGCTTCTATGTTACTTGCATCTACATGCACACACGCAACACACCCGCGCACACACATGAAAGTATGACTAGAAGTTTTAAATTACTTTCAACTTTAAACTTTAAAATAATCAACTCATGAACTATTCCAGTATGCAACTGAATGAGGACGCTCACTTTAGCGTTAAGTCCATTGAATAAGAATAATATAATCCAGTTGTCGATTCCACAGTTCTCAAAAGAGACATGAAGTAAGCCTCATCCTTTTTCTGCATAAGCATTATCCAAGTTAAAATAAAGGACTAACAAGCAATCCACATAGCAGTGAAAGCATAAATATTCTCCTCTTTGGTTGTGGATTTTAAACTTAAATGAGAAATTAAGTGATCAGAAGAATATCATACTTCCTGTGATGTTGAATATCTCAAAGCTTCATTGCAGGATAAAAATCTCATAGACTTTGCATGGTAAACAGAGTAACCTAGATAAGTGCCAATTTCCTTCAGAGAAGTGATAACCAGTACATAAGTTCCTGCAATAAAATAAAATAGTTCAGATTAAAATGCAAGCAAAAAAAATAAAACAGACACAAAAAAGCTTTCTGAAGAATCCAAAAATGATATAATGAAAGCGTATTGCCAAATGCACCTCGTACTCATTCTATCGACCCATACTTGTTCTACCCGACCGTTTGCCCTCCCTCCCTCCCTCCCTCAATTCAGACCATTTTTCTAAGAAATTTTCCACGAGTGCCCAAGATTAAAAATAGGGTTAATAACACAAAATTACCATGAACTTTGGGAGCTTTACACAAAACCCTCTTAAACTTCATAAATCAGAGAACACTACTATTGCCTTTTTTTCACTAAATAGTAAATACCATGACCGAAGACAGCTAGTTTAGGTTGTCACGTGCAAAGCTTTGAACAATTTTGACCCTTTGTGCTTAATATATTTTCTATGCTACCCTCCCAACACCTCCCATTTTTCAGGGAAAGTTTAGACCTTCTACCCTTCACATTAACATCTGTAGTCACAATTTCCAATAATGCAAGCAATTTTCTGGCATTTTGAAAATTCATATATCTCACCTAATTTAAAATGTTTAGATGGGCTTCCTGCAAAACCCCGAAAGTTCATGGTATGCTTGTGAAACTTACCCCCAAAATACCATTTATAGGAGAGGACATATTCAGGGTCGGACACTCATATGAGAGCTGTCTATGAGGTTTTGGTGTATTAGAAAAGCAGAAACATGCTCAATACTATCAACAGAAGCTAAAATGTTGCATAACTTGCAATATATAGGAGCATTTGGGAGTTTTGCATGATCATAAACACTCCACCGACAATTACCCATTATATAGAAGTTCAATGAGCTTTGCTACAGGGACCCAAAATAATGATGGCCAACTCATTATCCAATAGGAGGGGGACACCTCACTTGTCCCCCCTATTGGTCCCATATTTTGGGTCCTTGAGGAATTTTTCAAGTTCAATATGCAGTAAGTAACCAATAATCTGATGAAAGTACCTGCAATTAATCTTATTATCCCAGCCACTCCATAAATTGTAGACACCTTGTTGGGATTTCCATAGGAGGGGGACACCTCACTTGTCCCCCCTATTGGTCCCATATTTTGGGTCCTTGAGGAATTTTTCAAGTTCAATATGCAGTAAGTAACCAATAATCTGATGAAAGTACCTGCAATTAATCTTATTATCCCAGCCACTCCATAAATTGTAGACACCTTGTTGGGATTTCCAAAATCAACCGTTCCTGCATCCACAATTTGATATTATTTATCAATATACGAGACCTCCATCAAATTCTTCAAGTGCAAAACTCAAGCAGATCAACATAGAGAAAGGTCTAATCTTTGAATCAAAATAAAAAAAAGCACGGAGATTGGGATGAAGGACTCACCGGTCAACTGCTGGAGGGCGCCGTCGGAGCGGTCAACGGAGAAGGCGAGATCGGGGAAGTCCGGATCGAGGGACCTGATGACGTACTTGTCTGCAAATTCTTGGAGCTGCAGTTCTCTGCAGCAATGGCTGCGGGCTGAAGCTAGGGTTTTTTCGCCATGGCGATCGAGTTCATCTCCTCCTTCAATTTCCATTTCTTCTCGCGTGTGAGAGTTGGACGACTTGAGACTAATAACTTGATGGGAGGAGAAGAAAGCGATCGATCGGAGAGCAATCGTTGCCGTTGGTACTTATAAATGGGCTTTTGGGGAAAGTGGCTTGAGATTAGTTGGGCCGTTTGTGGGTCTTGTCCGGCCTCGGCGGAAATGGATCAAATAATTAACAAATAATTCGATAAGCTATTCGATCATATTTGATTTTGTAATTCATTTATCACTAAATAAATATTTTTAGTGTTTAAGTTTGCAAATGAATAGAATTTAACCAGACGTATATTCAATTTTTTTGTCTATCAAATATTCGTTTAAAATTTGATCACTTATTATTTGTATTATTGCACATATGATATCATGTTTTTAACACACTTAGCATTGCTACTTAATTTTTATTTAAGACTTAAATAATATTAAATCTATTTTCTAATGAAAATTTTGATTTAAATATATATACATCATATATTATAAAGGAATAATTTTTATTTTTGAATTCAAATACTTTTTGAAAATCAAATTCTTGAGCAGAATAAATATACTTTGATATTCGATAAGTATTCATGAATATTTATCAAATACTAAGTATTCGGGTTCGAATTCGGAAAACTTCATATATGAATGCTAGAGTCCGCATTCGAATTCGGTAATTTTAAACAAATACAAATATGAGCACCTTAGTATTCAATTCGATTCGATCATTTTTGCAAAAGCTTTAGATGTAATAATTATTGCGTAAATTAATAGATTGATAGTTTAATGAATTCCTTTTTTACAATAAGGTATTTTAAATAGATATGACTATATTAATGTATTTTAAATATTCTAAAGAGGCAACTTTTTTTAATCGTAAACCAATTTTCTATAATATTCTCTCATGTGCGATGTCAATTTTCTTTTCTTTTTTTTTCTTAGCAAGGACTTACTGATACGAAGAAGGCATTTGGAAAACTTAAAATTGGGAATTAGATTTAAATTGTGAAAGAAATTAGGCGCAAATTTGAAATTAGAGTTTATGTAGTAAGCAATTGGAGAGCAAGGGAAAACTAAAATAGGGTTAGAGTTATGATATTAGATTTCAAATTTGTGCCTAATTTCTTTCACAATTTAAATCTAATTCCCAATTTGGAGGAAATGAGATTTCAGAGTTAATTATATCATTGTTTGAAAAAGTTTTTTTGATACATGCTCTGAAACTCGCTTCGTAACTTTTTGATGGGTAAATGCTTCAAATCTGAAGAGGGAGGCTATTTATCCCTTGAAGTTTATGTCATGTCACTTAAAACATAATTGAAGTGCGTGCTTTGTGCTCCTAAAAGCGCTTTTCCTTCTGAAGTGCGCACTTTAGACAAGATAGGAGGATATAAAAAGATTGTTTTGACCAACATAAAAATCCCATATGTATGTTTAAGTTGATCATGTGAGAGTAAATAAAATATATGTGTTATGCATGTATTTTAATTTATTATGATTTTTCCTACACTTCACTTCCTTAATACCTATTTACCAATTAGAGCATGATATATATATATATATATTATATATATAATATATATATATATATATATAATATATATAGTAAATATATTATATATATATATATATATATTATATATATATATATATAATATATATATATATATATTATATATATATATATATATATATATATATATCATTGTATACACTATATACTACGATGTTTCATAATTTTATTAACTTTAAATTAAATAATTTAAACACTGAAGTTATATCATTGTACAATGATATATATATATATGTATATATAATATATATATATATATATATATATATATATAATATATATATATATAATACTATATATATATATAATATATATATATATATATATATATATATATATATATATATATATATATAATATATATATATCATTGTACAGACTATATACTACATGTTCATAATTTTTATAACTTTAAATTAAAATAATTAAACACATGAAGTTTACACCTCACTTCATAAAAGGGTCTACTGCTTCGCGTGGCACTTCTGCTTTTTTAAACATTGAGTTATATCACCCTCCTAACCCTCCATGCTATGTAATTAAGATCTATCCGTCTCAGTAAACCAACTCAAATAAAATGATCACATGCATGCATACGAGGGAACCTCACTATAAAATTGGCCGTTAGATGAAAAAAAGGGCCTTGTTGTCTTTTTGTAACATTTAAAATATCTTTAATGAAGTCAGAATTATTTAAAATACCCTGCTATCAAAAATGGGTTTAATTAAAATATCAATTTGGCAAATTACTAGAAACTTATTATATCTTTATCTGTTTATCTTTCTTGAATATTTATTGATAACACCTCCGAGGACTAGTAAAACTTAAAGAAATATATACAAAACAGAATAAATATGCGAAAAACAAAAAAATACAAACATATACGTTATATGATACAAGAGTGACTATCAATATGTTCCAGAAGTAGAATAACCTAAGATTAGGCTTCCGAATCATCAACCTAAATCAATTAATCAAATCAAAAACTCAATAGCAATCATATGAATGATATAGGTTCGGATAATTATAGGTACATATGTATTTTTTGACACTTCTAACCCACTGGGGATTTACTGCAACTGTAAAAGTTATCGAGCATCTTCTATAAACACTAAAAGTTCTTGGGAATTTTGAGGGGTTTTTTCGATATTAGTCCTTTAAATCTTTTAGTGATTTGATATTTGACCCTCAAGTCTTTATATTTAATATCACTCTCTCAAATCTTCATTGTGTGTTGATATAAGTTCTTCTATCAGGGTTAGGGTTAAAAACCATGAGAAACGCGCTGAGCTCTAATCGAAAGATTAGTCTCAACGGGCATCAAAATCTTTGACCCTTGATAAACTGAGGGGAGAAAAAGAAAGGGAAAACACGTTTGATTTGTTCTAAACGGGTATGGATTTTGGGGGAGTTACTAATAGGTTTGGATTTGTTAAGTGAGCGTCCAAAAATGTTAGTTTATGGATGCGAATTAAAAATAACGGAATATTCCTCTTATTTATAATCCAAACTAATCATAGAAGAGACTAATCTCAACATAATATGAAGATTTTAGAGACTAATATCAACATATGAGAACTCGAGGGGACAAATATCAAATTACTAAAGAAGGACTAACTTTTAAAACCCTTACGCCTCGTTTGTTTCGCGGGAATGAGGTGGAATGGAATGACCATTCTCACTTCTCATTCCCCGAAACCAAACGTACCTATTTTTTAGAAGTTGGAATGACAATTCTCAGGGAATGCCCATTCCTACCTTTTGTGGAAATGAGCATTCTAACGCCTCGTTTGGTACGTGGGAATGGACTCAAATGAGAATGGAATGAAAGAAGGGATGGAATGGAATTAATGTTAGAATGGAATAGTCATTCTCATTCTCACGTTTGGGTGTAATTTATAAAATAAAGTGAGAATGGACGTATTTTAAAATTATATATTTTATTGATTCTTATTTAAGTGGGAATGCCCATTCCCTATCATTTCATTGGGAATGCTCATTCCCACATAAAGTGAGAATTGATGAGAAGTGGGAATGAGCATTCCAACTTTAAAAAAGAGGGTGTGTTTGGTAGGAAGGAATGAGAAGTGAGAATGACCATTCCATTCCACCCCATTCCCGCGTACCAAACGAGGCCTAAGTGAATTGATAAGGAATGATCATTTTCATTCAAGTGAGAATCAAATTAGTTACGTAATTTTCAATTATACCCCTATTGACAATAAAAATAAATTATTTTCAAGTGAATCACATTTTTTTTCTTTTTTTAAGCTGCACCGAAATAAATTATTTCGGCCTCTCATTTCTATTCATCGCCAAGAAGAATTCGACCTCTCCTTTCTATTCATCTCCTTCCTATTTATTTTTCTTTAATTTTTTGAGACTAAGTAACAGTGAGTATTGTTTAAAAAATATAAACAGAACATACACTTGAGAGATAACATGTGCATTAGTATAAAACATAGCTAGATTAATATAACATATGCATAAATAAAATTGTTTAGTTATTATCATTAATGTTTATTTTTATCTCATTAAAAATCTATGTTGTTGTAAGTGCATTATTAGAAAATAAGATTTATTCTCACTTATGAACCAGTGATACCAAACATGGGAATGAGAGTGAGATTTTTATTTTAACTTCATCCTACAAACGCATTCATCAAACAAGAGAATGTAAATAACCATTTCATTCATTTTTCTATTCCATTCTCATTTGAGTCCATTCCCGCGTACCAAACGAGGCGTAAGTTTAATTTACAACCCCCACCCCCGCCTCTTCAAACTCCCAAATGGAGTCATACCCACCTCTCTTCAGAAACCCCACAGCCAACCTTGATTCAATCCCTACCCGGTACCCAAATCTCGATCTCCCCATAATAAACCTAGCCCACTTAGATCAAGCCCAACTCGGCGAGGCTTGCAGAGAACTCGGGCTCTTCAGGCTCATCAACCATGGGATCCCCTCCCCCCTCGCAGCCCAGCTCCACGCCGAGTCCAAGAGGATCCTCTCGCTTCCTTTCGAGTCTAAGCGGGCCGGGCTAGTGGGCCCAGTCAGCTATTTTTGGGGGTCGCCGGTGGTGAGCTTGAGCGTCGGAGACGTTAATTGGCTCGAAGCGATCCATGCTCCCCTTGGGAAAATTCAGGAGGTCGGAGATGATTTGGGTTTGTGCTCTTCATTCAGGTAAGGTGCAGGGGGGTTTTTAATTTTGGGTTTTTGCACGGTACCGCCTGCAAATGAAACAAGGTGACATTTTTCTCATGGTTTTTGCCTGTATACCCCCCCGGATATATCCTATTTGCTGATTTACCCCGAAACCTGCATTTTCGTTATTTTAACCTCTACATTCTATGCGAAACTGGTGGCAAAAATAATAAATGAGATGCGACTATTTTTACGTAGAAAGCCAGCTAGGGGAGGACTATGCAAGCTTAGAGGGGGCGTTGGAGAATGCAAAGTCCAAAGGGAGTTTGAAGGTTTTTTGCTCTTAGAAATGTGTAAGAGTGATTATGCCATTAACTTAAGCATTAAAAAATTGACTAGCAAAAAAGAGAGATATCCACGTTCAAAGTAAGGAAGATTGAGAAGTCTCAGATGCTCAAGTTTGATTATTCCAATCGGAAGGGCGATGTCATGGTCAAAAAGAGCGTCCTACCTCTAATATTCCATCATTCTTGGTGAGATAGTGTATTCCATCATTGTAGGTGAGGTGTTTGTTAAAAGAAGCGGGGAGAAATTATACCTCGGGTAGGTGCTCCGATATGCAGCTAGCGATGACTGGCTCGGATCGGTGGAGGGAACTACGACGGACGAGACTCCCCAGCACTATTCACGACGCACACAGCAACCTCTGATCAATACCACCATCCCGTTGTTAATACCAGTATCTGAAGTGTGTTTTTGAGATGAAGCCTCCATCCCTATATATAGGGAGAGCTTTAATCAAGAGATAGGATCAATTGGTTAATGGTCAAATCTTAATTGATAAGAATAAATTATCATAAAATTTTTTACCATGTCAAGATTAACCAATTGATAGTTATCCTAAGATATCATCCCAACAACAACCCAGATACGTTTAGATATGGCAGCCACTTAAGATTGCCAAAATCTAACATACTCCAACTCGACTAAAAAGTGGGTTGCAACGCTCTGAATCGATCACAATGTCCATACAGCTGATGCGTCGTGCGACCATCAAGACAATCTGCAATTGGCGAGCTCTATACTACAAACTCTTTTAAAGAGTGATAATAGAAACATCAAGCCCTTTGAGAAAAGAAAAGTATGGATAGTAGTCTCATATACCCCAGATCAAACTATGAACACATCTCTAGTCCGAGTATCTTCTAATCCCTCCTAAGAAAAGCATACTTGACTACCGCGGAACTATTTGGTAAGATCGACACTTTGTTAAAAACGAAGCTCCAAATGCAGACTCATTACCAAAGCAGATGTGTTAGTGATCTTCCTCTCGCACTACTATTGATTTAATCTAAGAACAATGTTTTAAATGTCGGATGTCGGGTTCATATCGGACGGCTAAAATCCATATCGGATAGCGAAAATCTGGGATATATTGGGGGACATGGACTAAATATCGGATTATCATATCGGGTAGTGCGCGTATATATAATATCATGTCCTAAATGTAATCTAAGCATTCCTAAATTTAATATAAGCATACTTTATAAATTCTAGAGGTATCGCCGGTGATGGGTGGATTCCGACGTCGCAGGGAGGCAGTGTCGGGGCTCTTCTTCTTCTTCGTCTGCTCAGGGTCTTTCGGATGAGTCACCGATCACCCTCTTCCCTTTATCCCGATGACTGGATCCTTTGTCACCCTCGGGTTCGGTTGGGTTCAGATTTTGGGGCGTAACTGGAGATGGACGACGGGGTCCGAGATGGAGGTGAGAGAAGAGTGTCGTTGTTCACGAAAGGATTGATCGGTTACCAAATCCACTGTAGCCCTAATTTTTCTCTTTTTTTCTATCTGGTTCATAAGAAACCCTTAAATATGAGAATGAGTCAAACGGGTTTAAGTTTTTATCACTAAATCCAAACCCGATAATAAAAAAAAGATCTAAAAAAAGGGTCATATCGGCCGATTTTTCAAGGTTGGAAATCGATCGATATGCCCGATATGATCCCGATATTTTTGATTTGGCCCTGAAAATCGACATACGAGTTAAAAACGTCCATATCGTGTCGCTCAAGCCCTCAAACCGACATGTCGGACATGTTGACCGACATTTAAAACCTTGTCTAAGAATAGCTGCTTTCCCAATCACCTTCCTTTAGACCAAATCTATCATGGCCGTAGGTGAGGAGTCAAAATAACAACACTGCTCTCAAACCTTCACAATATAGTCGAATGTCACTAAGAGTATAAGTAGAACAAATTATACGCTCGATATGATTTTGGCTTCACACAGTAGCGAAGAAAGGATCCATTCGCCTACCCCAAAATCATGGAAGTCTCCATACAAGGTCATCTACATACAATATCGGATAATGTATCCATTCGCCTATCATCTCCTTATTATTGGAAGCCATCAATATGTCATCTACATACAAGGTCAATATGAGAAAGTTGTTTGAGGATCATTCTATATACATGCAGTGATCCTCTACGGCCATCGTGAACCCAGATTGAAGAATAACTCGATGAAATTTAGATACCACTACCTAGATGATTGTTTTAGGCCATATATGGATTTTTTGAGCTTGCAGACTTTATGCTTAAGAACTTTATATACAAACCCCTCAGACTTACCGATAAAGATTTTCTCGTCTAGTTCTTTATGGAGAAATACAGTTTTTATATCCATCTAGACAAGTTCCAAATCCATGCAAACGACCAATGCCAGAATCGTGTGAATCGAGGCAATACCTCGTCATAGGTGAGAGTTTCCTCATAGTCTACCACCTCTCGCTGGGTGTATTCTTTCGCCACGAGTCGCGCTTTAAACCTATCAATAGAACCATCTGACTTTCACTTGACTTTTAAGACCCACTTGTTTTCGATAACCTTGCGCCTAGCCGGAAGGTCCACTAAGTCCTAGACTTGGTTTGTCGTCATGGACTCCCATCTCATCTTGGTGGCGTCCATCCATTTCTCTGCATTGGCGCCAAAGAGAGCTTCATGTAAAGACTTTGGATCCGCAACGTCATGCGGTGCCACCATACATGCTTTCCCCTCAATCTCAAAACGATGATGAGGGATTAGTTAGTGATTGTTTCGTCTGAGTTCTTGAGATTCCTGTGATGGTGGTACATGATCAATTATGGGAATGCCGCTCTCACTATCCCCAGGAAGCATAGGACTTTAGTCCTAATGCTCAACTAGACCACTTAGTGCGCTTTCCTCTATCTCAAACAAGTCAAAGTCTTGGCTCATCTCCCCCTTATAGGGAAAACCCTCCTCGAGGAACTCTCCATTGCATGACTCATTCTCAGGAGTTATTCCAACTTCCTATGCTCTAATGAATACGTAACCCTTTGAATGTTTCGAATAGCGAATAAATATGCACTTTTTCCCCATTGGGGCCAACTTCCCATTGGATTGTATGTGGTGTGTACATAAGATGTTGAGCCCTATGGTTGCAAATTGCCTAAGTCGGGTTTTTCTCCGGTAAAAAGTTTAAAAGGTGTGGAATCAATAGTCTTAGAAGGCACACAATTTAGTACATAGGCTGCAGTTAACAAGCACATCTCCTTAAAAGAATATGGATAAATTCGCTTGCGTCATTATGGACCTCACCCTGTCAAATAATGTTCTATTCCTTCTCTCCCCCACACATTTTGTTGCGGAGTATAGGGAGTAGTCATTTGTCGGACGATCCCTTTCTTGTCACATAGTTCCTTGAAGTGTTCAGATAGATATTCTCGACCACGATCAGTTCGTAATGCTTTTACGCACTTGTCAAACCGATTCTCAACCTCATTCAAGTAACGCTAGAAGCAACCCAGTGCTTCAGACTTGTGGGAGATCAAGTAGACATGATCATATCATGAATAACATCTATGAAAGTAATGAAGTAAGGGGCTCTATTCCGAACCTTCACACTTAGTGGTCCGCAAATATCAAAGTGGATTAGTTGTAACGGTGCATATGCACGTGTAGCTATTCCAAATGGTTTTATTGTAGCTTTGCCTGCAAGGCAAGGCTCACAAGTGGGTAAGACGACCTTAGTGAGCGAACCAAGAAGTCTGCCTCGAGCTAGACTGGCCATCTGTTCATGCTCTATGTGTCCCAATCTAGCATGCCATCTCATAGAATCATTCAGAGAACTAGAGTTCACATCTATGAGGTTTATTGGCAATTGCAGCAAAATTGTCCACATCAATAAAGTACAAACTATTTAAAATTTTGCCTAACAATATGACAATCATGTCCCGTAATAAAAATATTATTTTTATTAAAACAAACGTCGTAACCAAAATGAAATAGCTTAGTCACTGAAAGAAGATTTTACCTAATCTCGGAACATGCAAGACTTCTAGAAGGAGCCAAGTGCTTCCACCTCACAGATCCAACTGGAATTGGCCGATACTGGCAACTTTCACGCTGGAATCATTTTCCATGAAAATTCATTTATTTCCCATTGAAAAGCGACGATACTCCCCAAATCCATCATTGTTCCATGCTACATGATCTGTGGCCCCTGAGTCTACAACTCACAATTGATGAGATTCAGTAAGAGCCGAGAATGACTAACTGCAAACTAGTGCATCATGTAAAGATATAGTGAATAGTGTTTTCCGTAGCGTGTTTTTATGCGCAAGGCATCTCAACTTTCCAAAGCTACGATATGTCATTTTAGTCTTTTTCTTCTGCTTTTGAAAAAAGACATGTTCACTTAGCGCATCAAGTTTCTTGTCTAAAGTGACCAAATGATCTTAGATTATAGTTTTAGTAGCCATGTCCTACAAATGCATAAGACTATGTTTTAGATTGCTTTTTATATGAGCTGAAATAATCATTTTATTTTTGCAAAATACAAATTTCAATCTTTAAAAAATTATTGTAGCGAGATCAAAACTTCACTATGCTTGGAATCAAATCTCTCTTGTCAAATTATTTAAGAAAATTTTCAATTTATTTTTCATCGAAAATGTTAGAGTATATTAACGAGCCTTAGTGCTTCTACCAAATATCACCTCCATTATTTATGTCCATCTATTTAAAGCGCCATGTCTGCACTATCCTAGATCCAATCCTATGCAATGATGTTCTTTTTCAAATTTTATTTTCATTCTTCATGCCCCAATTAGTCAAAAGGGTAAATTGGGAGTTTCCATGTGTAGAAGCGCGATTCAAGTGCCATTACTCTACACTTGGTCACTATGAACTCAATCGCATATACCACATCCTTCCCTTTCACTCTTCAACACAACACCTCTTTAGGTATTGCAGGTCGGTGCAGCTGAAGGCGTCAGATTGAGTTTTACGATAATTCTTTATGAATCTAAGGAAACTATCACCTAAGTTGCCAATAGAAATAACACAAACGAAAACGCTCCTCAAGGCTACTATCGTTGTGTTCAAGTCCATTGCATAAACTTAGTGTAAGTAAATCTAGATAATCAAGTCCTCGCACCACAATTGGTGGAACTCCCTGATGTTTAACAACGTGCATAAGACCTTGACTCACTTAGATCGAACCATTATAGTTGACCCAACATGGCCTAGCACAATCGACTGAGCTTCCTGAGGCTACATTCAATGTTCTAACGACCCATATTAGTCTTCTATAATATTCGCATTTTCAATTTAATTAAGACCTAAAGTCAGTAATTTTTCTACGGTTGATCCCAAAACTAATTTTGGTCTTCAAACCCATCCCAAAAAATTAGAAAATAAAAGCTAAAGATTTTATTTTATTTTCGGAATTTCCCAATTTTATAGATTTTATTAGATTTTTCTGAGTATAACCCTTTTCTTTTCAATTTGAAAAACATTTGCATAGATCGGATTTTGGATTTTTGGGTTTTATCAGTTATGATCAAAACAAATATTTAATCAAGCAACAGATATAGATCTAATAAACTAAAATTTTAAACATCTATTCATGAATCCCAAGAAAATATAGCATGGGCATTTCTGTAGAAATAAAACAATAAAGAAATATATCTTTATGATCTACAATATCACTTACTGTTTGTATTCGATTTGCAAAGCACAAAGCAGAGGGCTTGCTCACAAAACATGATAGCAAAAATAAAATGCTTAACATTGGGCCAGATCACAAATAGTTAATGCTTAACATTGGGCCAGATCACAAGCATGAAACCAAAATAAAATGCTCAACATTGGGCCAAATCACAAAAAATTAATGCTACGAAGCCCAAAAAACAAAATTATTGGAACCAGTGGAGATGTTTGATCTAGCAACATGTTGAAAAACTTACAAGGACTAACATGTAAAGAACACTCCTTACTTTTCGTTGTTACCCATACAAAACATCATGCACATGTTCTACTAATGAATTCTTATTAGCTTACATCAAAACTTTACTTTAAAAGGAAAAGTTAAATGACATATAGATTTGCTAAAGAATTCCTAATCGAAACCAAAATAAAATCCGATCAAAACTGCTGTATCAAAAAAAAATGAATAAATAACTATCTGATCTCATTGATTAGAAAATAATCAAAACACAATCAAGATTATATGGATCAACAAACAAAAGCTGATCGACAGAAGGATGTATTAAACAAATACTTAATACTTTTCAGATCGGAATAAAACACATTAATGACCATAGATATATTCAGGTCAAAATTAATATAGTTATATCTTCGCAGCTAACAGATCATAGAGCACGTACCAAATGCTCTGATACCATGTTATAAAAGAAGTGAGGAGAAATTATACCTCATATTGGTGCTCTGATCCGCAGCTAGCGATGACCGGCTCGCATTCCGACGGTGGAGGGAACTACGACAGACAAGACTCCGCCACACTATTCACGACGCACGCAGCAACCTCCGATCAATACCATGAGACCGTTGCTAATATCAATATGTGAAGTGGTGTGGTTTTGAGATGAAGCCTCCATCCCTATTTGTAGGGAGAGCTTTAATCAAGAGATAAGATCAATTGGTTAATGATCAAATCTCAATTGATAAGAATAAATTATCATGAGTTCTTTGAGCATATCAAGATTAATCAATTGATAGTTATCCCACGATATCATCCCTACAACAACCTAGATACGTTTAGATATGGTAGCCACTTAAGATCACGAATATCCAACTGTGTTGTATCTGCATCCCCTAGCTTGGCCTAGGGACGTCATCTTTGTAGTCCTACTATCATAGTCAAGGTTTCATTTGGACTACGACCTTAGTGGGGTTTCCACGTAAAAATTGGTGTCTCATTTACAATTATTTATACTAGTTTGCATTTCCCATTTTATCATACAAAGAGGGAAACTATAACTTCCGCAACTTAATAGGATTTTCCCATTTTCCAATATGCACTACTGTCTTCTCTATCTCTGTCATTATGTTACATTTTAGACCTGCTGCAAGGGTCACACTACCCCTTATCAATGTTACAGTCGAAGGACTGTGATTCAGTCTCTCTTCATACTGCTTGTTGAGGGTTGTTCTGAGATTTCTCATCCTTTTGAAGTTATGGGTTCGATCCCGAGGATTGTCAGCCACCCATATCAATAATAGTTCTTAGGATTATGATACATCATATTGTTTATGCAATGCATACCAAATTTTATGCATTATATCATGCGCATCTTCCTTTATATCATCATAGTAGAAATATGGATTCTGTACCGGATGTCCAAATGACATCTTCCTTTGATTGCTATACCAAATTCACATACATCAACTTTCCTACTCTATTGCAAGGTCTCTAGCATATCATTATGGACTACACATGGCACGGATCTCAAAGACAATCTTTGACGCTCTCTTAACTGATCTCAAACTGGACACCGAAGTCTCCTCCTCTTACCTCCATGAATCCGATGGCATTCTACGTGTTTATCGATATCCGTGCTGCCCCGAGACTATGAAGTATCTTGGAATGGTGGCTCACACTGATAGCTCAGTTCTGTCAATACTCAACCAGGTTGATGTTGGGGGGTTGCAAGTTCTTCATAATGATCAGTGGTTTAATGTTGAGCCAATTTCTGAGACACTTGTTGTGAATCTTGGTGACATGATGCAGGTAATGTGGGTATTATGTTTTGTTTTACTGTTTTCAAGTTGGATAAATTGCAGAAAGTCCCTTTTTGCTATAAAGTTTTTAGATTTGCTTCATTAAAAGTAGTTGGAGTAGCAACTGTAATTTCAGTATCATGCAATTTTGACTTGTGCATTCCAAAAATGCTAATCTTGTCATTTTGTTTTTCTAACAATTCGTTGGAATTTAAACAAAGTTAGAACCTCATGAAACTCGAGCTGCTTCTAACCAAACAGATCATTTGTAACAAATGGTCTTGTTATATTAGATTCTGCAAATAACTCTCCCAGTTTTAATTTCAGGTTAATTGCACATAGCACTGTGTAGTATTGCTGTTTTGAACTTACTACCGGTGTAGCTTCATAGTAGCAGATAGATCCCCCGGGGTTAATTTTTTTTAACTCTTTCACCCTCAGAGTCACTAATTCACTCAGGCAATATCTGCGAAAATGTTACTTAGAGTAAAAGAGTACACAATTTTAACCCAGAGAGTCTATCCGCAACAATGAAACTACATGGGTAGTAAGCACAAAACATCGATACTACACGGATATCTTTGCAAGTTAAATACTCTGGTTTGATATAGAAATAGGAGGATTATCTGCCAGTAACAATATCACACGATAAACTCAAATAGGATGCAAAATATTCGAGGTATTTTTCTGTAATTTAGCCTCGAAAGTTTACTGAACAATACTGATGATCTTTAGGCCATGAGCAATGATGAATACAAAAGTGTGGAGCATAGAGTGCTTGCAAGTGGGAGTAAGGAGAGGATGTCCTTGTGCTACTTTGCATTTCCAAAGGAGGATGCTGTCATTGTGAACTCAAAATACAAGGCATTCACTTACAAGGAGTTTAGTGCTAAAGTGAGAGAAGATACCAAGCTGTACGGATACAAGGTAGGACTAGAGCACTTCATGGTCAAGAAGCAAACCTGAGCCCTGCAGCAAAGATCAGTCTTCATGCCTTTTTTCCCCGCGTATTTGTACTTGTGAGATATAAGTGTAATTGTTTAACCAAATATGCTAATACAACATAAACAGTGTATATGGAGTGCTATCTACATTTGATAGATGCTAATGGAAAGTGTTTCCAGATTTTGTTTACATGTTAACTCAAGCATGAAATACACAATTGAGGTCCAATTATGTCCCCCTAACGATCTGCGTTAATACATTAGAAGTTATTGTACATTTATCTAGTTTTTGTTATTTGAACTGCCATGAGCCTGAGATCAGTACGATAGAATTACATTATGCATCTACAACTTACTGATGCTGAGAATTTAGACTGCAAAAATTAAGTATCACAACCATAGTATGATTATCCATGCATAAATTTAGGCACAGCTCTAGAAGCAAATGCAGAAATAGAATCTCTAGCTTTCGCTGCTCTTATAAAACCATAAAGAAAACTTAAATTGACTAAAATGAAATAAACACTTGGTGGTGTACTTCTACAGAAAATATGTAATAAATAAAGAGAAAAGTTAATGTTACAACTTGTAGCAGAACGTAATCTGCCACTTTTAATTTATTCCAACGGAGTCAAGTATGATTTAGGACAATGATGGTCTGTTTTCAAGCCCACCAGCAAGATTAAAGTCGACTCGCTTTACTGAGCACAGCAGGTTTGAAGCTAGCAATCCCAGTGATTTCTCTCGCAGTCACCAAACTGTTGATCTCATAAGTTCCCTCGTATGTATATATCGGCTCCAAATCGCAGAAAGCCTGCAAATGCAGTAGAAATTAAGAAAAACTGAAGTCTACAAAAATTATGTTGATATACTGTTTGACCTGCAAGCAGGTTATTCGATTTGCATGAATTGCTTAAATCACCATCACAGTCTAAAATTATGACACGCGGGTCATTTCAAACTTTTCTTGGGCACATCCTAACTGCTTAAGTCCCTTGATTCAGCGTACTGATCTTTCTTGTAGACACCCTAATTTCCGTTGTATTACGCTGGTTTATAGTCCTAATTTAGAGTTTCTACAGGATAGAATTGTCAAATTTAGATTCTTCCTAAAGCGTCTAATTGTATACAGATGTACTATCTAAAGCATAACGGTGGAAACGAGTAGCGAGTGCACGGGCACACAGAAAATGTTTTATGAGCCCACACCAAGAGTTACTAGCTAGAGAAGGCACATAACATATTTGCAATGGGATGCATTCTATTCTGCCTCTCGTGTTACAACTTTTAAAGTTTACAATACCATACCATACAGCTAATTGTCAGCAAAAAACAACAAGGCAAAGGCGATATGCATATCGCCTTGATTCACCGTACTTGTAAAATAAAATAAAATAAAAAGAAAAAAGAAAAAAAAAACTTCGGTGTAATGTACTCTCTCTGGCTGACTGATCCTAAGCCTTTCTGTGAAGACGTGCAAGTCATAAAAGTAACAGAAAAACAGGAACACTAACGCCGTAACGGTGAGGTGGGTTTGGTTATGGAAATCCACATCCAAGCTTCGCTATGGCCTTCGTTTAAAAAGTAAAGAAAAGTAGGATGTGCATCGCTGAAGAGTTATAAAAGAAGACAGAGGACAAGAACTCAAACCTTCGCCACTAAAAAGTCTGACAGGATTCCGTTTCCACCCATTAATTCTCTACCGAGAGCAACTGTCTCCCTTGCTCGCAACGATATCCATGCCTGAGAAGTTAGAACTCTTTTGCAGTTTAGAAAACGGTATCTGCAGCGCTTCTGTAATAAAACATTATATACTACCTTTGCCAAGCTAGCGTGACCAGGGGTCATTTTTCCAGATTCATACAACCTGCACAGGCGCCAACCAACGAGAAGCATCGCTTGAATATTTCCAAGCATACGAACAAGTTTTTCTTGGTTAAGCTGGAATGCAGCTAATGGAGCTCCAAATTGCTTTCTCTCTTTCAAATACCTTATGGATTTGAACCATGTAACATTTTCATGGTTAAATACAGCGAAAACACTTCAAACAGAAAATGATGTTGAAAGATTAAAAAAATAAAATAAAATAAAATCAAGTTATACCGGTGGCAGATGTCAAATACCCCCATTGCGATGCCAATGGGTTGCCATGCAACGATAACACGCGTGACAGCAAGCGACTGCTTTAGGAAACCATCAGATATGTTATAACAACATTATTCACACATTTGAAATCAAAAAGGAAATCATGTGGAACAAGTAACTATGATGACCAAACACGAGAAGAAAACGCATTTCATGTAAATAACAAGTCAAACATTGTGAAATTAAGCAGAGTCACAATCAGCATGAACCACACAATTGATTGAGTGGAAAGAAAAAGCGGAACAAGATACCGACTGTCGATCAACTAAAAGGAGTCAGTAACTTGGGGACATCACAGCATCTAATGGCATAATGGCATAAATAAAGATCAATATCATTCATAAAAGTAATGGCATAATGATGCCGTGATACCTTGTTTACATCTTGGAACGAATTGACACCAGGAAGCCTGTCTTCCTCTGGGACGAACACTTTGCTCATGATAATATCCCCATTCTGAACAATCCTCAATCCAATTTTGTTCATAATCTTTGTTGCCTTCAAACCAGGGCTACCCTTCTTCACAATGAACCTGTGATATCAATTTAACGGGGAATGAGTGTCACACCTCACAAGTCATGCATTGCTTGACTGCGAGTAGTTTCGAATATGACTACACCAAATTCTAAAATGATTTACACTGGACAAAAGATAGTTGCACACTGTAATCAACACAGACACTCGTTCACTTTAAACGTTCACCAGCAGGTTTTTGAAATAAGTTGCAAAACTAAGCGAACATAACGCAAGTACAGAGAGGCTACGCTTTCATTTCATTTACCCATTTATCTGGTTTGTACTTGCGTTGCGAGCAAAAACTATCAGTACATCAGCAAAAGTGCCGTTTCCTATCCAACGTTTTTGGCCATCTAACAACCAGCCTCCAGCTACCTGTCACACCAGCAGAATCTGCGTAGTCAATAACCTCAATGCTTTGACAGGTAAGAAAGATATAAAAGGCCAGACTATTACTAATTGAAAAGAAGAGTGTGTTTTATAAGTTATCTGGATAGGTAAATGAGATGAAGAAAAGAACCTTCGTTGCAGTCGTCCTCAAAGAACTGGCATCACTTCCATAATCCGGTTCGGTTAAAGCATATGACCCAATGTATGGTTACAGATTTCTACTTGTTATGTGGACAAATCACCTACCAAACAAGAAACTGTACGTAGTTGAGCTAATGATGGCAAGTATTTCTGCTTTTGTTCCTCAGATCCACATAATGCTATTTTTGGCACAAAACAGGCAATGCAGTGACATAAGTAATAAGGTGTCAAAATAATTTATCCATCAAACATAGAGTTTTGAGAATTCAACTGGAAACTCTACCAATTGTAAGCATTGCCGCAGAAGAGTGCGTCAAAATAAAAGTAGAGCAGCTTGCATCAACCCTGGCTATTTCAGCAATAGCGATAGCACTTCCGATAATAGAGTGGCCTGGACACCCATAACCCTGCTAGCAACAACTGTTAGCACATTACGTTGGCATCTTCGATCTTCGAGCCTGAAGCCACCAAGATCATGAAATGAATGTACCTTTATTGTCCCACCAGAAACACGGAGGGTAGCGAGCTTAGGAATGGCCTGAAAAGGGAACTCTGCCTTCTCCCAGTACTGAAGATCGGGTAAAAGGATCAGAAATCAAATTTAAGCATTCGCGACAAGCGACAAGCAACACCAAGTTAACAAATTAGGAATGGCATGAAAAGAAAACCATCCCTCCTCTTAATACTTTTAAGTGGAAATGGTCGAACTTGAAGAACCACTGATGACGATAAGATATAAATTAATGTGTTAACCTCTAAGATAAAGATAATTCGTTGACATTCAACAAATAGGATACAAAATTAGCGGCTTCACCCACTTGTTGGATGATTTCATCTCGTCAAACATTTTTCGTCTGTTATTGGTATATCGGCAAGGCAAATGGCAGTTAATTCCCACGTCATCTCACCCATAACTATGAGAAATAATTTCAAGCCTTCTTCTTGCGCTTGTAAGATTTTATTGCCTGTCATTACTATAATATATATATATATATATATATATATATATATATATATATATATATATATATATAATATATATATATAATATATATGTGTGTGTGTGAGAAATATGGAGAACATTGGTACCAAGTTGCTTAAAGCAACTTGGTAGTGATGTGCATAATCTTGCCCCTACATCAAACCTTGCAAATAGAGCCTCAACCATCCTTCGACCAACTCCAATGTAGATGTAGGGACAAGATTTAGGCCACATCACTACCAAGTTGTTTGGAGCAACTTTGGTACCAAGTTTCTCCATTTTCTCTCTCTCTCTCTCTCTCTCTCTCTCTCTATATATATTATATATATATATATAATATATATATATATATATATATATATATACTTATATATATATATATAATATATTCGCCAAATAGTGATAGGTCATTACAAAGTTAGAACCTGGAACTTTGAATGAAACTCAAGATCAAAATTTTCAGAACATAAAAATTTGCTACTTAATTCAAAAATAAAATCCTAAAGCCATTAATCATTAATTAGAAAAAGAAGGCTAATGACTGGCCAATCATGCCTCTAATTCTTGCAACGGAGTTTAAGCATAAAGATAACCACTTTTACTCCCCTTTATTTCAGTATTTCAGCATCCTTCTAATTTCAACTTCATATCAATGATACAGTTTTGCAGGCTCTCCTTTACTTAAGGTTGAGCATGCATTACATTTTAATCAACTTGAGTATTGCTTTACGTTGTTTCCTCCTCCTCCTTCATTCTGCTACCTATACTATATTTACCGATAGTTCTAGTGTCAGCAACTTTCTATTGACATAAAAGATTACAGATATTGCTTAGGGTATAAAATACGGCAACGCTCACTCTCAAAGCAATTATATGAACACTTGGAAGCTCATTAAAAAAGTATACCCATAAAGTCAATTCAACTTAACGGGATCCATAACACAGTGTAATTCGTTGTGTTCAATAGATTGGAGGGGACAATGCAGGTAAGAAAAGACCTCTGTCATAATGGGAGCGATATCTTTCTCCATGACGTCTCGAACTCTTTTCCTCAGAGCCTTCTCCTCAGAACTTAACAGATCATCAAACTGATAGTAGTCTGATACTGCAAAAAGAACATCTGGAGCATTATAATCATGTACTTTCGGTTTAAAATCATTAGAAGGAACCTGCTTACTATAATCCAAATTATCGAAGTCACTGCTAAACAAATTGCAAGGGATGCTTGAAAAACATTGAACATGTATTCACATTATGGGTTACTCAAAGTCAGGGCAACTTTGGTGTATCGGCATTGGCAGAAATAAACATGGTCATTATTATAGATATAGCAAGAACCAGTTGAACAAGGATTACATCTCCATTTATAGTTCTAATGCAAAATCTGGATTCCAAGTATTATAAAGCATCCATCAACTCACTAATCGGGGACAAATGTAATTTTCAAATATCACATTGCAAACTCTTCGTGGGCTTTTTAGTTTGCAATTAGAATGCACGCTGAGTGCACGACTTTCGTGTCTTGAAAAATCTTTCAGAGTGCCATTATATCTCCTTTCAAAAGTGTGCCATATCCGTTTGTCATAAAAAGATGCTTTCTTTTCAATGTATCATAAATAAAATACGATTTCGGTTCAGCTTAACTTCGTGTTCTAATCTCAAAATAAAATTATATTGAAAGTCCTAAATCAAAGTTTTAACAGGTACTAATGAATCTTACCCGGTTGAGGGAAAACTGAAGCTGGCGTTGCCTGTGGAAAAGCAGAAGAGATATGCAACGCTGGCAATCCGACGTGCGAACTCATACTGTCCTTTGACTGCTCACCTGTTAATCATTTAATACAAAAAAGAGAGGGAAAATTGTTTACAGTAGTAGGAACTGAACAGTGAAGATAAGTTGAGGTCAAATGGGAAAATTGTTACCTTGATTTTTTGGTACGGAAGCCATAGGTGAGAGGTACTAGCTAGAGAGATCTATGCGCTATTACTCTAGTGTTTTACATCGAAATTAAGTTCGAATATAAATTGAAACGAGGGAGTTGACCGTTTGATTTTAAAAACATGGAATCTTTCCTGCAACAAAACATTGCTCACAGGCCAAAGAGCATTAAAAAAATGTTCTTAAGTTTTTAAAATGGATTAATTGCACTTAAATTCCCTACAGTTTCACATACTTTGCATGCATGTAATCCCAGTTGTATTTGGTTGCAGTTAAATGCTCTTAACTTTTTAAAAGTTGCACTTTGATACCCATGACATGCAAATGTGAGTGTTGGGAATTTAACGCCTAAATCCCTAATGCAACAGAAACGCAGAATAGAAAAAGTACACCAAGATTTACGAGGTTCGGCAACTGCCTACGTCCTCGGGAGCCACACAGTTAATTTCTTATTAATCAAACAAAAAATTACAAATCAAGAGCAAATCCCAAAACTGAGATTTCTCAAATGAACATTGTAGCTACAGTGTTAATAATTAAAGGGAATAAACCTCTTTCAAGTCTCACTTGAGAATAAAGAATATCCTACTATAAAACCCCTCTTTAATTCTCTCTCTCTTCTTAAATCTCCCCCCAAACACTGTTGAAAGCTGGAGATTAATCAAAAATTGCTGCTGCGATTTTGGGGTTGTCCGCCGCCAGAGAGGAAATCGGAAGAAAGGGGAAAAGCACAACACCACACCTAGGGCATCGAAAAGGGGTTTTTTATAGGCGAAACGTTGATAGGCT